CCAGCGGGGTCATGTGTAAGTTTACCGTCGCAACGTAACTAGCTTGGGTGGTGGTTACTGTTCAAAGACTGATCGACGCAAGAATTCTAAGTACGTGCTTTTATCACATGTTGCCCACATAAGTAGTGTCTTTTTACTGATACCCTAATCATTAGACAATTGGACAAAAATTTGACCTCAACCTGATTCCGTGAATCTCTTTCAATTTTCCACACATTCCTGGCTTGATATCAGCGACGAAATAAGCATGCAGTACAAATTTTCTTTTAATGCACAAAACACGACAGAAACCACTTTTTGATCAGCATTTTAATATGGTCACTTCTAACCTTTTCTCAGCCTAGACCTACTGAAGCTTACGTTGTGCCAGGCAGACGGTGACTGAACGAGCATTACATGTCCCAGCTACCTCAGCTGATAAAAGTTCGCAAACTCATCGACTGACCTGCACTTCCTCTATAAAACGCGACGCCTGACTACTACTCTACTCATGTATTGACACCATAGCACACAACCTAAGCTATGAAGGCGGTGACCGAAAACATGAAGCCTACTGACCTCAAACTTCAATAACCGTATCACAACCATGTCGTACAACAGGACGAACTGTAGCGCAGCGCATTCAACCCTCGATAGGCAATCAGACATCACGGTGGTGCCATAACTAACTTAAGTAGGTGAAAGCTAAGCTAGCCCTTTGTATCCACGCAGAAGTTTCGTCAGCCAATCACCCGACAAGACCAATTCGACTTGTCAGGTAGGTGAAGTGGTCAATGGACTCAACTTCTCCAATCTCGACTGTTAGACAAAGTACCACTGAGAGTAGTCCTGGAGCAGCAACCTGCATTTGGGTAGCGAAACATTTTCAGATTGCCATTCAACGTGTCTAGAAGATTATCTCTTGTCAACACCAACTAGCGAGACTATGTTACCTGTTTGCTCCAAATCCGCTAAAGATTCTACTGTGACAAGATCAACCCTTGTAAAGTCATACTACGAGACGAAGACCACCATAGACACGTCTTGACAAGTTTGATGTCTTTGACAGACACCATTTGGCCCACACGACTCATCTGATAATTTAACATAGGCTCTAATATGCGCACACGTGGTCAGGTACAGTGCCTTCAACAGAGTAAGGCACTTATTCAACACCCATTTCAGAAAAAGATACTGTCATGAAACCTCTCCATGAACGGAGTTCGTCACCTTCAGGTCTAGAAACACAGGTAGCGTCGGTCGTCCGTAAGATTGTCTGTGTTTCAGAACATGGTGGAAGGCGAATATATGGTCAATGCACTCACGGTCAAGTGAAATCTGCCTGGTCTTCTCGGGTTCACCACTCCTGAGTTCCATTCAGACGTCTGATGATCATAGAACCCAGAATCTTAGACATTACATCCGTTGAGCTTAGCATAAGAGGATTTTACCTCTTTTGTGAACACAGATAATCAGTGACAGATTAGTCAGAGGGGATCGTGTCAGACTGCTAACACTTCAGTTAACCTGACTAGTAATCCTCTACTATCGTCCTTGAATACGTCTGGTACCAGTCCGCCCGTCCCTGCTGCGCTTGCATGTGTCAGACTGCTTGGAGCTTTTTCGACGTTTGTAAGTGTCGGGGATCCTATTTCGACATTCGTTCCTGAGTTGCAGGTCACGGAAAAGTCGCTGGAGGGCGGTGGGACATTCCCTCAACGTGTTCTACACATCGTTCCAATTTTATCTCCTACAAGTGAATCGCACTCATCCTTCTCCGTTATAGTCTCACTAACCAGTGACTTTTTGCCCCAATTCCCTTGATAAGTCAAGATAGCTGTCGTCTGTTACCTTCGGCAGCTGTCTTTTCTATTTCCTCAGCTGTGACCACCCACCCCTGTCCGTGGTCACTGCACAGACTTCTCATCAGTTGCTTCCGATCTTCATTGTGATCATAGCCTACAGGAATGAGCTCACGAGCACCCAGCACGAGAAGAAACTTCTGAGATCCATTGGCTATTTCTAACTACCTCATTAGAATCAGTCTCCAACGCTGTTTCTACAGCACTGGGCTTCTACTGGATGAGTGGTCTTGTTCTGTTCTAATAACTAACCGTTTAGCCAGTTTCTTGCTGAAACCAACCTTGCATTAACATCGTCGAGCTGTGCTCACATCAGTATTGCTGCACTCGTTTTCTCACGTCCACTCCGACGCAGACATACTCATGCTCGAACCAACACGTCGCTGCTTTAGGAAGAGTCGTAATCTCCCACCAGTCTTCTTCAATGATAACTAATAGGAGTATGACTTATGCGTATCCAGTGTCGAGTTGGGGTTGATGGATGGTCGTGGTCGCCCGAAAAAGATGAGTGTCAGAGCACAGTTGTTGCAGGTGATCGTTGCTATTTGTCCGTTCAGTTGGGATTCCCAGTGTGCCATCCACCTCAGTGTTTTTGTGTCTAACACAGCCTATCCACCTGTACATTGAAATCACCTACGAAAATCACATTCAAATGTCTACTTCCAGTAGGAGGCTGGACACTTATCGGTAGAGCTCATCCTTCACTTTATACGAACCGTAGTGATTGAGTGAGCAAAAATTACAAATTGACAACAGTGAGTTTCACCATTCATTCTAGTCCTCACTGCACCGTTCTGTCAAACAGTGGACAAAGTAAATGACTGTCAACTGGTATCCAGTTGACCAGTGAACGTTCTACCTCAGCGCTTATTGTTATACTTACACCTGCAAAACGCGAGAACCAGTCATAGAATCTTATAAATTTTATGACCAAATTTTGACGTGGCAGAGTTGAATAAGTTGAGTATTGGGTAAATGGATTATAAGTGAAACATATTTGTAAAATCCCAATAAGATCATTATTTTAACATATCGAGAAACCTAAAGAAAGTCGTCTTTCACCTACCCAGGCAGCAGTGTTTCAACTACAGGCCGCGGCACAGATGAGGACGTCAATGCCTGAAATCAGTGTGGAGATCTACTGCACTGCACTGCGCTCAGCATGAAGCGTGAACAAGATACGCATTTTCAACACTAATTCAATCAAGTAGGCGCTTCTATATGGTTCAGAAACTTGGCGCGTCACGAAAAACATTTCCAACAAACTACACATATTCATCAACAGCGGCCACCTACGCTCACTCGATACTGAAGATCGATGAGATGGTCAGAAAGAATGAGCAACAAGGAACTCACTCTGGCCGGGCAACAAACCAACCAACCAAGAACCCATCGCCCAACAAATATGCTGGAGAAAGTGGGTGTGAATTGGATTGGGCATACACTAAGAAGACCGATTGGGAACATCGCGCGTCTGGCCAGGCCCTCGAGTGGAACCTAAAGCGGAGACGACGAGTTGGGCGTCCGAGACGAGGGTGATATGGAGGAGATCATATGCAGAGGAAATGAAAGCTTGTGAGCAGTCAGGGAGCCAGGTTGAGAAGACTGCAGAGGAGAGAGGGCAACGGAGACGTGCTACTGAAGCCCTATGTTACACTACGAACTCAAGGAACAAATAATAATAATAATGATAATAAAGATTTAACAAATATATTCCATTCATAGCCATGGAATCTCCGGAAAGTCGACGGGTGAATAACTGCACATGGGTCCTCTATGCATGTCTCACAAGCGGTACACATCCGTAGTCCGAGATACCAGAGTTTCGGTAAGGGAAGCTTGTTGGTCGACTTCACGGATGTTGGATGACACTGAAAGCTTCAATATGTCGTTTGGATAACGATTCCCAGAAACCAGGGATGCTGTTCTGTGAACTCGAATCGTTATTAGAAGCTGTCTAGTTGCGGTAAATCAAGCCTACTGTAGAGATATTGACCAAGAGATGTGAAGGAAGGTTAGAAGGCAAACATATGGAAGGTTGGTATTGATTTGTGAGAACTCAGGTGCTGACAGAGTTGTGAGGGTGACTGACACTTCCAACTGCCCACACCATAGATAGACGGCTCTTCTTGAGCTTCCTGAAAAGAACTTAATGCGTCACACATAGAGCCCTTTAGGCATATAACTTACAAGGGCCACACAATGCCTTTTAGGAGCTTGGTATTCAAGTTTGTTGGTTTCGACTTCGACTATGAACCATATCGATGGAACCGGTATGCTATTGGTTGGGACAGGATGTGCTATCTCCAGGGTTTGCATTTCGTCTCCCTTAGGAAAGGCAGCATCAGTATAACACTCCTGGTCATATACTGGGAACAATTTACTACTGTTACAGCCCAGTTTAACCAGCGTCACCACCATCCCTTGGAGCCTTATCACCATGTAGTAAGTTACACTATAATGGTAACTCCTTTTTGTCCTACCATCACCCAAATGACTATTTTGGGACGATAAGAGGAAACATCAACACAGCTCGTTGAGTCATTGACTACCACGTGAAGGTAGCAGTTATCGAGAGGGCTACTTACATCGCAACATACTTCAGCTGCTTCCAATCTTTATGTTTGCACATTCAGTGGACGTTAAGTTGTCCTGCGGTATTTTGCTGTCGACGTTTTTTTTAAACTTTTATAGATGAAGTGACCATTATAATTTCTCTTTCCGTTGTTTTTTTCTGCTGGTTGTGTCAGTTGCTGTAAGCCAAATGCTCCTAGCAAAAGGCTGATTTTACTAACTGGCTGCCAGAACCTGTGGGTGAAGCAAGATTCAAACCCAGAAGTCACTGCCAACTGTACCACAGTCCCAGGAGAACTAACCAACAGTTAGCCTCCTGTTCTGTGTACCATAGCTATGGAGGAGCGACTGGATCTACCACATCAGAATCCGCCAAAGACCTGAAACCGTTCCGCAAAACCAAGAAAAGAGCAAGAAGAAATCAACTGCTTTATGCAAGCTCCTTAAACAGATATTGGATACATACACTAAGGGGCTTCAAATTTGGTGACGGATTGCTTTACGAACGGTCCACTTAGATGTAAACGTACTTTCTGATGCAAACATAAACCCAAAGTTAACCTAGCAACAAGCACAATAACCTACTTCGAAGACGATACACGTTGTCTAAATATTCATAAGTGCACCGCATCATTAAGCTTGTTCAAACAAAACCTGAAAGTTCGTAAAGATTCACATAATTGTCTGAAGATAAGGGCTATTAACTAATATAATTTCTTTCCTGACAGAACTATGCGTTTATCCAGTGTTGTGTTTTATGAGTCAGCTGACAATACAATGAGAATACTACGATAGAAAGCAAAGGAACCAACAGGTTGAGCGTGAAAGGCACTAAAATTTTTAACAGTAAAAATGTTGAAGAGCTTCATTAGAATTACGAACACTACTATAAGACAAACTGAATACTGGCCCAGTGAAATGGATGGTGGGGTTTACTTCACAACAGTTAGTCTGGAACTAGCTGTAAATTAGGATTACTCAGATTTCTGTCATGGTTTTCATGTCACTTCTAAGTTTAAAAATCACGAACGCACCCGCAAATGATCCTTTGTTCCTTGGAATGCTGGTTGCGACCTCTACCAACTATCGACAGAATACTTCACGTACTTTAGACTTCATACACTCGAATTCTTTCGCTGCGTAGTTAGTTCCAGTAGTCACTTTAGGAAATCACATCCTGAGTAAGCCAATACTCTTACGAAAATCTTTAAGAAAGAAACAAGTGGGTTCGGGCATAACATTCATCCTCCTACTCGTGGTGGTAAGCTTTGCGATGCCCCATAATTCAAGTGTAACCAATTCAGTGATGTGTCTGCTCCTGGTAATTTGCTGTTAAAACACTTAACACACTCAGTCTGAATTATCGGTCGATCTTCATTTTCTACACTCAGACATCTGCACAGTTGATTCTTACCGTGAAAAAACTACTACAAGTACCAGAAAACTAAATATTCTTAATAGTATGGGCGGGTGTAATGGAATAGCATTGTGTTCCTTAAAATTTACTGGCCTTGACATTTCGCTGTGGCTACTTGATCTATACTGTTTCTTCCTGGAACGGTACATACCCTCATGTTTGGAAGCCATTTTGCATCCTAAATAGACGCACATTCAGTGCTAATACTGAAGTAACTGCTGATATATTAGCAATCAAGGCACCATGTGAGTCTAAAATTGTGGAGAGAATAATTCAGAAAGACATTTCCCAACATATGCTCAATAATAACGTTGTCATATCTGGTTAGCACGGATTCTTGAAGCGGTGGTAACATATAAAACCGTCAACCCTACTTCCTAGTCCTTTATTTCTATATTTGTGTGCCATAGTCCAAATTTGACCATCGTGGGTGGTTAGAAACCTACAGATTCGCAAGAACAGACTACTGCTTGCCTGGTCAGATCTGATCTTTCCTTAGCGGCTGCCAGAAAGCAGAATTTGCCAGGGCTCAGATTTCAAAACGCAAGAGGTCATATGTTGTATAACTCATGATGGTGTACTTGGTTCTGTACTTTCAACCCTTTAGTAGCGATCCCCGTAGTTTGTTCTCACTTGGTTCACTGTTTCCGCATGCTTAAGGCCCGAAAGTTAGACACAGATTCACGTATTATGAACCCTCCGGCTTCAAGACATTGACAGAGAAGGAACTGGACCTGGTAAGTAATCGGTCCACTATCTAGTGGCTCTAATTCAACATCTACAAATCCGGTTGTAGATACTGTGGCGCGACCCCTGTTACCGTCGCGTAAAATCTGTTGTCTGTGAGGTTACCCAACTTCCATACAGTCGATGACCTGAATAAAACATGGCTTGTTGCGCTTGCATTTGCTGAGTGGGTCACACCACAGAGTGAAAGCCAAGAATCTTGCTGTTCTGTACAATGCTTAACCGCCATGGCCTCCAAAACAAACTTAAACCTTGCAAACCTTATGTCTAGGCACCGTAAGAAAACTATCCATTCCATCTCAAATGGAACCTTACATGCGACAGAATAAAGACTGAAAGTGCTCGGAAGTCATTTAAGTTCAGAGTGCTAGGATGCGACTTTGGTCAGGATCACTTGGTACGATGCACGACCCGAAATGGCTGACAACTTTGTATGAGACGACGTTGGGTGAGTTTTATTCTCCCTTTCGCTATTCAGAGATGTAAACTATTGAGGTCAACGCAATTAACTGAATGAAGATAGAAAAAATTTCTGAGAGGACCTCTATGTGCTAACTCTTATGTACCAAGTTTTCCCAATTTTCGGATCAATCACCGGTCAAAATAAGAGTCTTTAGCTTACTTGTGCTGTCGAGGTGTTCACTAGACAAATTTTGATCTTTATTCATGTTCATAGATATACTGGAAAACACTACATCCATGTTTCGCGGCGATTAAAAAATTATGTCAGCTGAACATTTAGGTGGTTAATTATGGGTGTTAACTATCAGCTGAAGAATTTACGCTTGCAGTAAACCCATCCCCATCGACCTACCATAATCCTATCACGGTATTTACCGCTTGTCCTCACATTTAGTCCTCTTCTGCGAAGAGATCGGAGGTATTGAGTCAAAAGTGTGATGACTTTATATCGGGGATTTTGGAGAAATTTCGTGTTGGCACTACTGATATTCAGTCAGGTTAGTTGAATCTTCGTCAACAAATGTGGAAATGTGGTTCATCGTTTTGCTGACCGCAAAGATTCGGACACTGGTGCTCATTGACAGTATTCTGAAGCTTTAATGACATGTCCTTTTTACTATTCAGGACTGGTAAAATCTTGTAGGTTTTTCGACATATATCAATTTGATGATGCCTGTAAACTGGCTCCTCCCACATTAAATTACTGATGCTAGGAAAAAACATCCATTATATAATAGTTCTGCACTCACCAATGAACAGTGAGTAACAGACCACATGCATGTATTCATTCATGAAGTTTTCGCCATTGTCATTGCACAATATACAAGCAGTTTAACAGTGGGAGCATTAATTCTAGGCTTTACTTTTTTCCAGGCAATACATGCAGTGCCTAAGTGTGAGGACGATACTTCTGATTATCCGTTGTGTTAGTTTGTGCAGACTTATTCTGCTGCCAAGCTTCATTTCACTAACATGCAACACATCTTTTAGTGACGAAATAGATGGGGTCGAAGTAACCTGTCCCAAAGAAACATGTGCCTTACATAAAACTGATCCATGCCCGCAAGGATGGTGTGCTCGAATATTCAGGGACAAACATTGTTATCGAAAGGCAAGAGTATGTTCTGGTCTTGTTCAGTCTGGATGCTGCTTGGTTTAGTTGGTCAAGAACTTCTTCATGTAGACTTAGATCTTGGATGCATACGTGTATATGAATCGCTAAATATGACAACCGTCATGGTGACATTCGGGCTGATGAAACGGAAGAATCATCCTGGTATGACTGCCATGGCCGATGATGAGAGTGATGACGGTACTCATGACAAACCTGAGGTTATGCTTGATAAATCTAATTGTGATCGTTTGTTATTGGTTCAGGAAATTCGGATAAAGGCTGGTTTTAAGCCTCCTGAATGCGAGTGAAGGTTATAAGGAAGCCAGATATATCTCAGGACAGAAGTTCGAGAAACTCTTCAAGGTGCCAGTGTACTGTTTGGAGGGTGTTAGAACACATGGTTGACAACACGAATACAGTAGTGAGGAACTTTTGGAGTTCTCAGACAAACTACTAACCCATATATGTCAAGCTCAGTCCCAGGACTGTTTTTACAAATGAAATATTTCTAACCAGATGAATTAAACTTTGATCACCAGGAGGGGGAGCGAAACCAGCATTTGAGTGGAAATAGATGGGTTGGAGCCAAAATCTGAGAACATTATAAGAATCATTTGAGATATTGTAAATCGCGCAACAGTCGAATTCGGATGTACTTCAAGACATGATTCAGACTCAGAAAGAGCGACAAGTTGGATAGATAATCTTTTCTAACAACACCTGCAAACGATGCCGCGGATAGCAGATGTTTTCGTGTGACACGCAATCGAGCTTGTACAGCGCGCCGACTTCCTCACAATGTCTAAAATACGGAAGGCTACGTAAAGCCATTGCATTTAGCGCCAAAATAATAACACATCCACAAGTTTCTCGGGGAAAAATCCGTAAGGAAGTGGTAAAAGGGGTTTCTCGGTAGACATTTCACCCACTGCGGGCAAGTCCTGGGGGTGGCTTATGCTGGGGCTGGTGAAGAGTAGGCCGTGAATACTGAGTTCCGTGATTGAAAGAAAAGCTGGACAAGTTTCATGGCAAAACAGGGAATATCCATGGCAGACAATTTCAACCTATAAGAGAATGTGAAGGACCTCTGTGTTCGAACCACTAACAGGTTGCTGCCCCTGAGAGGAGGAGTAGAGCTTCAAGAAAATGAAACGGAGGTCGTATGATAACCTGGGTTATAGGGCTTACTGAAATTAAATTGTTCATTGTCACAACCCCGTAGTTTACACTTACCTGCTCGCGTTTGTACCCTTGACACTAGTAACTATCGGGGCAAGTTTAATTATTTTGTCGAACGTCCTCAGGCTTTTCGCTGTAAAAAGGTCCATGGTGCCAAACACCTGTGGCAGATACCCCACCGGCATCACTTCAGTGTAATGTACTGAGGTGGTAAATTGCTCTTAATCTCTCACTTCTCTAACCTGCCTTCTCTAACTCCCTACAGGGTTCAAAATGGCAGGTGGTTATGCACTGGGGGCTGTAGGCGGGGTGTTAGGGCGCTAAAGCGGGCTGAAAGGAAACGTTATTATACGAAGGGTGGGTGCGATCACCTAAGAGCCCGTGAAAAGTATGTCAAGGGTAACACAAGTCACAGCGGCATATACGCCAACTGCCCCAGCCTCTGAGGTTGGAGAAGATAGATGGCGCCTTGAGAGAATGAAGTTAAGTGTGATCTGGTGAACAGCTTGCCGCCGACGATATCACCCTAAGCCCATGATGCTGGTGCTACTCCTCGGCTAATATACGTGGGTATTGTGTAGTGCGTAGGGTGTACTGGGCGACCAGGTATGAACGAAAGCCGTATACCTTGTCAGTAACAGAAAGCTTTGAGGGCGACGACGGTCACGCATAGAAGGATGACCCGTGTGGCACCCTGGGTTCTTTTGGATGCTGCAATGAGGAGCCATCAATCGAGCGTCAACCAATTTGAGACCGCATACAGTCATCTTGGTAAGACAAGAGTGTTTACTGGACGCACTGCCAGAAACTGGGAACGGTACCTGTTGTACTCCAGGTAGCCATCAGGTACGACAAGCCATGCGCCTCCAATTTAGAGATGGCCAGGTATGAAAAATACTCCCTAAATAATGACACTGAAGGGGACCGGATGCAGGAGGAAGGAGAACAATAAGCAAACTGATTCTACTTCGTCAAAGATGCGCCAACAATATACCTCGTGCTCTGTCCATTCTAGAGTGATGTTACAAGTGGAAACTGAGCCAGCCGGATGGGTGACTGATATCGATCTTTCTGCTTCACTGGCCGTTATGACAAACATCTGTGTCGCTGACAACAAATATACGAATGACTATGGTTTGACATTTTATGGGCTTTGGCGTTTCTGATATTCCTAGGTGTTCCCCAACTGCTTGTGCTCGCTACTGAAGATCAGATGGCCAGAAGGAATCAGCAACAAGGAGCTCTGGGAACGAGCCAACCAGGAACCTATCACCCGAAAAATATGCAGGAAGAAGTGGAGATGGATTGGGCATGCACTGAGAAGGCCAACTGGGGACATCATGCGTCAGGCCCTCGAGTGGAATCCCCATGGGAAGCGACGAGTTGGACGTCCGAGGGTGACATGGAGGAGGTCATGCGAGGAGGAAATGAGAGCTTCTGGGCTGTCGTGGAACCAGGTTCAAAAGATTTCAGAGAGCAGAGTTCACTGGAGACGTGCTACTGAAGCCCCATGCTCCACTAGGAACCCAAGGGACTAATAATAATAATAATAATAGATGTTCTCATTGGCAAAACATACGATCGGGCTTCACAAACTCAAGTTCACAGGAAAAGCATACACTGGCCAAATTCCGAACTGCAATGGCAATCACCTTACAGTCCGTGAGGAATGTTGTGCATAGAAACCATTCTTGAAGACCAAACCACACTGCGCCACCGAAGCACCACCGAAAGCCGAAGAAAAAACCTGCATGAAGTTCTGGAAGCCAGTGATTGCCTTCTCAGCTTTATACAAAAGTATTTATCAAGAAGGCATGTGACAGGTCAATACCTCAAGTTAGTGGTCGCGTAACGCCATCCTACATCAAAGATATCCCGGAGACAGTCAACTCGTTGCTTTGTTGTTTCACTACACAATATTCTGTCCAAGCCAAAAGAAGATAGGACGAATACAATACGCAAAATCAGCGGCAAAGATCGCTCACGGCACTATGTTGGCCAGTCTAGGCTTCGGATAGCAAAAAGCATTTGTGCTTAATAACTGACAGTAAATCAGCATGATGTAGAATCCCTGGTTTTGGTGCATGTGGACAGTCATGATCACGAATTCCACTCTGGAGATACGAAAGTTCTCCAAAGAATAAGTCAAAGGCTTCGGGGAAATCTACAGAAGCATTGCGTTCAAGCAAAAAGTCAACCAATGGACATGTGGGTGTGGACCCAATCTGCAATTCTCTTGGTAAAACGAAAAATAGAGATCCACCCAACAAGAGCAAATTGACTTGACAATACAGCCATAGTGCATGGTGTGACAGCAACAAATAGCGCAATTTAGCCTCAATGAATACTATTTAGCAGTGTGACTGAAGGAAATTTAAGGTCAGCAAGGTCAACGTGTGGTTAAAAAACTTTTCTCCAACCTACAACTGGACAACTTTAAAGGTCATTGGGAATATTGTCTAAACGTTTGCCTAAGAATCGAATATGCATCACTTCTTCAGGGAGTTGGTGCTGAAGATGTCACTCAGACTGGCGACAGAGCACGACAAACCATCAGAACTCAGAGAATGCCAAAACACACCTGCCTTCATCATGAGCTATGAATCTTTTCCATCATTCGAATTTAAGAGTCTCAGGGGTTTCTGAATTCAAGGCGAAACCGACTAAGTTCAAAACATTTTTTGTTGAACGGTGAATGTATATTCGAAATCTAGAGGAACTCTATGAAAAATTGTTCTTGACAGCAAAGCATATCAACAGGTTCAATTACAAACATCCTACGTTGCAACCACCATTGTTTCTGACCAAAACAAAATACGCTGGTGCCACCAGTCAAAACGAGAACTTAAATGCATTTGCAGAAATGAACTGGATACGCTTGAGCAAACGGAGTGTTCAATGTTTTGTACACGCAGCGAAACAAGGTCAAAGCACGCTTAGTACCATCTGCTGCCCTAGGGCTCATCCTGAGATAGAAAACGGAGACCATTGATAGCTTGGTATATATTTGCCGAAGGTCAGTTCACAAAGGGGTGCACTACATGAAAAAAATCGATAACAGACCCAAAGTTCGGTTGAAGGAGACGTTCGAGGATCCACATGATTGCATGATCATAATTTATTATTTGTCTTTGAGGTTCCTGGTGTAACACAGGGCTTCAGTAGCACGTCTCCGTTGCCCTCTCTCCTCTGCAGTCTTCTCAACCTGGCTCCCTGACTGCTCACAAGCTTTCATTTCCTCTGCATATGATCTCCTCCATATCACCCTCGTCTCGGACGCCCAACTCGTCGTCTCCGCTTTAGGTTCCACTCGAGGGCCTGGCCAGACGCGCGATGTTCCCAATCGGTCTTCTTAGTGTATGCCCAATCCAATTCACACCCACTTTCTCCAGCATATTTGTTGGGCGATGGGTTCTTGGTTGGTTGGTTTGTTGCCCGGCCAGAGTGAGTTCCTTGTTGCTCATTCTTTCTGACCATCTCATCGATCTTCAGTATCGAGTGAGCGTAGGTGGCAGCTGTTGATGAATATGTGTAGTTTGTTGGAAATGTTTTTCGTGACGCGCCAAGTTTCTGAACCATATAGAAGCGCCTACTTGATTGAATTAGTGTTGAAAATGCGTATCTTGTTCACGCTTCATGCTGAGCGCAGTGCAGTGCAGTAGATCTCCACACTGATTTCAGGTTAATGAAGAGTTGTCTTGTTATCTTTCCGATCCTGGTTTTGATATCCTCATCTGTGTCACCTGTAGTTGAGGCGGTACCGCCTAGGTAGGTGAAAGAGACTTCTCCATTCAGGTTTCTCCCGTTCATGGTGACTGGAGCTTCTTGTCGTTGTTGTTGATGCTGTTGTTGGATGGGTATCTTCATCATCTCTGTCTTCTCTACCTTCACCTGAAGAAAGTCTCATAGTCGCTGCCCTGCCTCGCCTCTTCTGACAACTTGTTAGTTTTCGAGATCCGTAGATCTTCGAGTTTGTGCGACAAGACATTAGACATAAATCATCATCATCATCTGCGGTGAAATTCGAATCTTCCAGGCTCTTTTCATCGGTCCAGTCAGCGTATGCCCCTCTTCTCACAGCTCCTCACAGTTGTCTGTTGCATGATCCAGTCCAGTCGACCACAGTCAG